CTGGCTGGCATGTGGTGCTGGGGGATTGAATCGCAGTCCCTGTGCTTTGCTAAGCTTGTTCTAAGTAGGTGCTTTAGACCACTGAGCCATCTCACCAGCTCCAATCTTTTTGGATCTAATCTTCCAATCTTTTTCTTTTAATAGGTTAGTTAAGTCCATTTACATTTTTGACATGATAGATATGTTTCAGCATAGATCTCTCACGTTATGTCATTTCTTCTCCTTTAAATCTTTAAAAATTCCTCCACAAAATGACTTACTTGCTTGGATTTGTTGTATATTCTCATTTGAACAGTTTAGATTTTTGTTGTAATGAGATCTTTTTAAAATGCCTGTTGGGCCGGGGAGATGGCTCAGTAGAAGAAGTGCTTCCCTGGCAAGCACAAGGGCCTGAGTTCAATCCCTGGTTCCACAAAACAAAACAAAACAAAGTGCTTGTGATCCTTTTTCTTTGGTTATTGGCTATGTCCAATGATGAAAATATTTTCTGGTTTCTGTTTTTTGTATTTAACTTGGTCTAGTAAAATACACTGGCATACCTGAACCTTATCAACTTCAAACGATAGCCTAAAAATACCAACGTGCTAATACTACTTTCTATTGTTGTTGGTTTTTTTTTTTTTTTTGTGCTGGGAATAGAACTCAGGACCTTGCATTTGCCAGGCAGGTGCTGTGCCACTGAGCTATATGTCTGGCCTTGCTTTCTACTTTTTTTTATCAGTTGTAGAATATTTGGTTACAACTTTCACTTTCTTATTTCAGTTCTCTGGACATCAATTTTCTAGCGCGATGCTATTTATGTATCCCTGTGGGTTGTCTCTGCAAAAGCTTTTTAATAAGATGAAACCCCAGTTGTCAACTCTTTGGGAAAGTTCCTGTGGGATTGGAGTTTTGCCACCTAGGTTTTTTTTTTTTTTTTCAGAACTGGGGATTGAACTCAGGCCCTTGTACTTGTCAGGCAAGCGCTTATTCTACTGAGCCATCTCCCCGGCCCCATGATTGAGGTTTTGTTCATAAAGTGTTTACCAGTGCCAGTGTCTTTATGAGTTCTACCTGGTCAGTCTTCCAGCAGATGTAATGTTTCTCTCTAATATTTACATTTAAACATTTTAAAAAATGTATTTAGCATAGGGTCTACAGGGCCTCACTCCATAGATCAGACTTGTAGTGATCCTAGTGTTTTTAGCCTCCTAAGCGCTGGGATTACAGGTGCACATCACCATGCCCAGTCCCAATTGCTGTCTCAGCACACCCTGAGGTAATGGGACCAGTACAGCACCCCAGGGATCAAACCCTGGTCCCTGCATCTCCCTAAGCAGGCCCTTCTTTTGTTTTGTTTTGTTTTGTTTTGGTGGAACTGGGGATTGAACTCCGGTCCTTGCACTTGCCAGGGAAGAGCTTATTCCACTGAGCCATCTACCCAGCCCCAAGAACATTCTTTTTTTTTTTTTTTTTTTTTAAGCAGGCCCTTTAGTTCACTGACCTATCTGGCCAGCCCTCTAACATTTACATCTTTGATCTATTTTGATTTTAGTTTAATGCATGGTGAAAGATATGGGTCTAGTTTCTAGAATATGGAAAGGCAGGTTTTCTAGCACCATTTATTAAAGAGGCTATCTTCCACTGAATGTGTTTGGTACACTTATCAAAGGTAAGGTGACTGAGTACGTCTGGAGTTGTGTGTGCATCTTTTGATTTGTTCCATTGATCTTCAGGTCCAGTTTTTTTTGTTTTTGCCAATACATGCTGCATTTTTTTTTGGGGGGGGACTGGTAATTGAACTCAGGGCCTTGTGCTAACCTGCCATGCTGGGTTTTTTTCCCCATAATTTTATTGAGAAACAAATAGCAGTGAGACAGTTTCAAATCAAATTGGTAGGACAGTTTCAATAATTAACACACTGCATACATTCTTCTTAGTGATTAATTGCTGTACAAGATGCGGACTTGATAGCCTATTTACAAACAGCATTAGAACAAATCCCTCTATTCATTAAGAGAATGTAACTATATATCTACCCTAACCACTCTGAATACACAGATACAAAATGGACATTCATCTGTATCCCTTTTTTTGTTGTTGTTAAGTTCTATCACTTAAATATTATAGGTGTTTAAACTCAGCAAAATATTCTAAAAGAGTTCAGCAGTCCATAATAGTATTGGGTCTTCCACTTCACTGGCAATGTCAGAAATTGTTGACCTAAGTCACCTACAGCTCAACATAACACCATGGCTTTACTTCTTATACTTCATTTTTATACTTTTCTGCTGGATGGTTAAGACCAAGATAAAGCAAGACCTATGCAACAAGAGTTGTAGCTTTTGGGTCTGATAATCCCCTCAGTGAAATCCCCTCAGGATTTATCCTGAGATCCTGTATCTCAGATTGTAGAACCTTTGTCAGTGTCAGCCATGTGGATGAGTCACGGCCATTGCTTGGTCAATGTGCTCTCTGTGAAAGCCTGAGAGAATGTTTTCTCTCCATCTGACTCTCCTTAGGCACACTCTACATCATTGATCACTTTCCTCTTTGGCCCCATAATCTCCTTGATCAGAAAATTTGGGACACTACCGAGTTACATGATGTTACAGTACAAGTTCTCATATGTCCTGAGTCTTAAGTGACCTTGGAAGGCTAGGGCCAAAATGTTGGCTTTCTTTGTGGTTCTTTTTTTTTTTTTTGGTGGTTCTCCTTTTTCTCTAATTTTGGTCTGCAAACTTAGGTTCTTAACCATCCAGAAGACAAGCTTATTGTTATTACCATACAACTTAGGCTGTTGAGCTTAACCTCACTATCTGTCTGCATATCAAACATCTTAGGCATAACATGGAACAGGTACTTTTCATCAAGTATTGATATGTTGAACTTTAAGTCCCTACAGAATATGATAAAAAAAACATTTAAAAATTAGAATATATTTTAAAAAATAGGCATAAAGAATTATATACTTCTTATGTTTACACATAAGTCCAAAAATCTAACCACATACAACCTTGAAGCAGGACAGTCCCACAACATTCCTTTTCCTGTCTCTTGCCTTCATTCACCACCCCCTTCTTTTGGAACAGTCATCTAACCGAGAGACAGCAAGGCAGCAACTCAGCCATGCTGGGTTTTTTTTGTTTTTGTTTTTTTTTTTTTAATCACAGCAGCTTTATAGTACAGTTTCAAGTCAGGAACTGTGATGCTCCTGCCTTGGCTTTGTTGCTCAGAATTGCCTTTGCTGTTCTAGGTCTCTTCTGATTTTAAATGAATTTTACAAATGTTTTATCTAATTCCATGAGATTTGCGTTGGAATTTTGATCAGGATTGCATTACATGTGTAAAACAATCTTGGGAGTATGGTCATTTTCATTATATTGGTTCTTCCTACTCAAGAGCAAGGGAGGGCTGGTGAGATGGCTCAGTGGTCTAAAGCACCTACTCAGAACAAGCTTAGCAAAGCACAGGGACCGTGGATCAATCCCCTAGCACTACATGCCCGCCAGCCCCGCCCCCTGGTGGGCTGAGCTGGCCACACACAAATAAATAAATAAATAAATAAATAAAATTTAAAAAAAGAGCAAGGGATGTCTTCCCATTTTCTGTAGTTTTCAGTGTAGAGGTCTTTCATGCTTTCATTAGATTGAAACTTCAATTTCTTGGATGCTATTGTGTTGCTTCCCAAATATCTATCTTGGTGAACTTGTTGTCTAAAGAAACACGATGATGATGATGATGATGATGATGGTGATGATGATGATGATGATTTTTAATGTATTTAGTTGTTATAGGCTCTCACTGTGCAGCTTGGACTCATGGTGATCCTCCTGCTTTCAGCTTCCCCAGTGGTGGGATTACAGGCATGCACCACCACACCTGGATTCTGTCGCAGGCTCAGTGGGGCGGGGCTGGCACTATGTAGGATCGGATGGAACCCTGGTCCCTGCACTTGCCAAAGCATGTGATTAGTCTGCCCTAGGAGAGAAAATTTAGGAGTTGGGGAAGGGAGACAGAGAAATAGGGTTGGGGATATAGGTCAATGACACAATACCTGCCTGGCCAGTACAAGGTCCTGACTTTGATTCCTGGTACCAAAAAGAAAGAAAGAAAGAAAGAAAGAAAGAAAGAAAGAAAGAAAGAAGAGAAGAAAGTAGGGAAATAGAAGAAGAGGAAAATATTAAAAGCTAGGCTAGAGGGTAAGGAGAGATCACACAAACTTTGGGAAAACTGGTGAAGACAGAAGGGGAAAAGAAGAAAGAAACAAAAACAAGCGCAAAACAGTACAGTAAAAATAAAACTAGAGGGGCCAGGGAGATGGCTCATTAGAATAAGTGCTTCCCTGGCAAGCACAAGGGCCTGAGTTCAATCCCCAGGTCTGAAAAAAAAAAAAAAAAAAAAAAGGAACAGTTAAGAGATAAAATGGGCCATACATACATACATAAATAAATAAAATTTTTGGGAAAAGAAAAAAGGCAATAAGAAAATGTCCACTTCAATGAGTATTTCTGCTGTCACTCTTAGAGTGGGCAGACAGAGCCCAGATCTATGTTGATTAATCCCAGCAAGCCAGTGATGGATTTACAGCAGGGTAAGGATAATCCCAGGGAGCCTGCACCTTTACTTTCACTGACGTTCAGGCTGGTTTCTGGCTGTGAGGCTGGAACCAGATTTGCTGAGTCTGTAGCCAACAGTTTGTGTGCCTCCGGCTGGCTCAAACTTCTCTCACAACCACTTTGAACTCAGCTCTCTGACCCTGAATCTGGGAGCCACTAGATGGAGCCAACCCACAGCTGCTCTGAGTTCTGAGCTCCAATGGCCTATCCAAGATGGCTACCAGTCAGACACCCTCTCCAGGGTGACATTTGACCCGGATAACTAACCAGCACTTCCCTCCGCTGCTCCTTTCCACTGGTGTCTTTCTCTGTGGAGGCCTCTGGTGTCTCCACCGCATTTGCAGGTTTGGCCACCCTCCCGTGCAGTGAGTCCCAGCTCAGGAGAACATGCTGCCTGCAGCCTTGCCTTCCTCCCTGAGGGCTTTCTCTGCTGTCACAGGTAGACAGAGTGAGCCCAGATCTATGTTGATTAATCCTATTAAGCCAGCCATGGATTTACCGTAGGGGAGTGGATCATCCCAGGGAGCCTGTACCTTTATTTTCACTGTTAGTGGTAGACAGAGTGGGCAGACAGATATCAACTGAACACTCAATTCAGTTGAATTGTCCCTGTGGGCTTCAGTTCTTGCTTCAGGTCCTTGCTGGGTCCTGGGGACTCACTTCCTTCTCCCTTCTCTTCTTCATGTTTCTATATTCCAGTGTCTGGACACCAAATCTGAGAGAGGATGTTTCTCTGCTGTTCTCCACTCCATCATCTTCCCAAAAGTCCCAAAGGGAAGATTGTTTTTGTAGTGAGTTTTATTTGTATCTTCCTGGTAGTTCACAGGAATTTCTTTTTTCGTTTTTTATTTTATTTTAGGGAAGGGTCTACAGGGTTTTTAGGGTCTCACTACTAGATTGGACTCTTAGTGATTCTCCTGTTTACAGCCTCCTCCAAGAGCTGGGATTACAGGTGTGCGCCACCACACCCAGTGTCAATTGTTCTTAGTGTGCCCCAGGGGTGGGCCGGCACAGGCCTGGGGATTGAACCCTGGCCCCTGTGCCTGCTTGCAGGCATTTTAATCCACTGAGCTATTTGGCCAGACATAGGAATTTATTTGTTGTTACTTTTAAAATTTAGTAAGCAAACAAATAGTTGACATAGAAAATGCTGTTTATTCTAAACATGTTATATATTTGACATTTCACTGAAATTTCATTTTCTTGGTAAGTGGACATTGTGTAATTTCATGGGAAGCTTCTGAGAAAACAGGAAGATGAGAGAGGTGACAAGGATGGCCTGCCGAACAGGAAAGGGAAGCTAAGCACACATGCTGATGGTGTGAAAGAGACAACTGCCTTAGGTGTGATAATTGAAGCCAAGAACTTTTTTTTTTTTTTTTCAGAACCAGGGATTGAACTCAGGCCCTTGCGCTTGCCAGGGAAGCGCTTATTCTACTGAGTCATCTGAAGCCAAGATCATTTCCGTGGTAGAGTTTTGTTTGCATTTTCATTGTAATTCATGTAGGAATTTATTTCTGCTGTTATTTATTAGGCTTTTTTTTTTTTTTTTATTTAGGACAGGGTCCACAGGGTCTACAGGGTCTCACTGCGTAGATTGGACTCGTAGTGATCCTCCCGTTTACAGCCTCCCAAGTGCTGAGATTACAGGCGTGCACCATCACAC